GCAGCATTTTCCACATATTTTGGAAATGTATGAAATGTTTCTTTAGTACCAAAGTTTTACAGATAAGTATGTACTATGCCTTTAATAGTTCATTATCTTTTACCGTGAATATTTATGTCAATATCCACATTATAACATAACTAACACATGATCGACATTTCTTGCAGTTGCACTACTTCGGGAATGACTTTATTGTACAAAATCGATAAAACTGTCTTTAATTTTGGCCGTCCAGTTCAGATAAATACCCCATTGTGCGTTGTATTGAATGCATTTGGCTGATTGACTTTTTAAACAATCCCTTATTAAGCAAAGGGAAGTGAGTTTATTACAAGGAACTCTGTTCTAGCTGGTAATGTGAAATTCTTAACTTTCAGTTTCAACAAGGTAACAAGGATCGACAAGGAAGGTACGCGGATCTAAATTTTGGCATCTATCAGCTATAAATTCTATATAATTGTTTTCACCGTGGTGCCACTGGAGTTGTGAAAAGATCTCTAATCAGAATACATCGGAGTACATCGCACGAAACATCTACTCCTTCTACAGTGTAACCCAGTTAGATTGTCACTGGCAGTGTTCTAAATTTTTCGTTCATGTACACATCCAATATAACTGTAATTTTATTCGCGTAATAACAAGAATACCTCTCTGGCTCGTTTTTCGGAAGAATCGATTCTTTGCAGATAAAGTCTTATCTTCGCAAAATCGTTGGCCTTCGCTAAGAAAAACGTCCTAAGTTTCAAGTATCTATCTTTTGAACAAGTAATAACATCAACATCTGAAGTTTATCTATGGGTATCGACAACATTGTCAAAGGATACTGCACCAGAACAGTTGTCATCATTGTCGTAGTTCGATCACTTGCACCATCATCGGTCTTCGAGGTGTTCTCGTTACATGAGAATCTTTCGCTTTTCACACTGTTTTATACACATCTCAACATCTTCTGTACGAAACTTCGGAAATCTAACTACATAGGACTCGATAAGGTCTCAGGCAATAAACAACATCTTGAGTGCCGGGAAAGTACGGGCGGTCGATCTGCGTGAATGACGACACTGTGCAGATGCAGTGTCCTTCGTCAACGCCGTCGATGCTCGTCAAAGGCCTGCAGATGTTGGAGTTGCAACAAGAAATAGACAGACGAGGACAAAGACGCTCTTTCTAGAGAAAGCTAGCGATCTTGCGAGGGTGGGGATCGATATGCGAAGTGTTGATCCTCCTCAAGGGCGATGAAGAGGACTTAAGGGCATACTGATAATCATACGGAGTCCTTGCCTTAGTATGTGGAATACGTGACTTTTTAACGCGTTCCGTGTCACGGAAACTTCGGTTATATTCTGCTTATGAACTGTATTGAGCTTTTCAATAAAATAATAAGTTATATTCAAGTTTCTGGTTATTTTTATATATTTTGATATTGTTTCTTTATGTTTTAATTGCTTTGTAACGTATACCGCCGACCGTGACCAAATGTCCATTAAAAATATTTTCTTACAAACATTGGCGTGTACCATATGTGGTACACGTGGCACAGAACGTGTTAAAGACTAGTGCAAAAACATACGTGTAGGGTTGGGACAACGTAACTATACTTTAACATTGACAAAAGTTTATTAAGTTAAATAATTAACAAATAAAACAGGTATGCATCTGCTGCTGCTTGCTGAACATTCACCTTAGACTGTCTTAGGCTAACTATAGACCCTCTTAGATAAACCTTATACTCTTTTCGACTACGTTTATATTCACTTCTCCTTGAACTTATACGCACTTTTATCCGTTATGCCTGATTACTCTTTCCTTCCTTCTCACATGCATCATGGCCCTTGCATTCGTAGTTAACACTTTCGCAATCACGTATACGCTTTAGTAATCACTTTAGTCTCACAGTCCACTCGCTGAGTTCCAAACAATCTTCCTTCATATCTTTGCAGCCATTCGAGAACATCCTGTCTGCAGTCATACTTTCCCTAAACATACTGGCGCCATCCCATTGCAAGATGACACCAGCTACACGCCCAAACAGTCGTTCATTCATACCTTAAGAAACTAAACTTCGCAATACAGTGGATGAAGTTTTTATAAGAACTCTATTATTTTGAAAAAGAATCTAGAATTTTTGTAAGAAAGTACAACAAAAATGTTCGAATGCAATTAAGGAGTAACAGAAAGTAAAAAATTGAAATATAAAACTGTAAACCATATAAAACTGAAAAAAATGTTTTATTTTTTTTGTAAACAAAACATTACATTGTTGCGTCCAAAATTTTGATGAAATGTCTATAGGTACAGCCTTATCAGTTGATATTTACATATATTAAATAAATCTAAATTCATTGTTCACGTGACAAAATTCCCAATAATTTTTCTATAGGGTTCACATTGGGAATACAGGAAGGTCACTTTATAAGGTGTAAATCTCTTTGTGCAAATCATTCATTACTCTTCTTGATGTTATGGATAGGTGAATTATTTTGTTGAAATACAACAATACCTCCATGATTTTGTTTCATAAACCAAATTGAAATATTATCTAACAAATCTATGTATTTCAAACTATTAAAATTCCACTAGCGAAATTTTTGCTCATGCTTACCTTTTCATCTTTACGTAAACCATGCCAATAATATTTATAATCATTCCGATTATCCAAATTAAAATTTTTTCCTGTGGAAGAGGTGGCATCATTATCTTTTTTATCCATTTTAGTTCTGCATCTTCATGTAATATTTGCTGAATACGACGTGTAGTTACAGGAAGATACAAAACTCTCCTTACTTTACTAGTTGCATTATTACTTGCTATTTCTTTAAACGAGAATGATGTCGCCTTGATATTTTTTCATTACCACCAAAACAATTATTTTTACCGTATTTGTCACCGATTTTTAGAAGATTATATACACAGGTACCAGATCTATTCATTTTCTGTGCTATCTGTCGAATAGAAAGTCCTGCATCGTGGTATGCTCTTATTTTTGCCCTTCCTTCCACATTTAAAAGTTTTCTTAGCGACATAACTTCATATCATACATAAGAAAATATTATTATAAAATTTTATTTTTAATGAATGTATTGTATTATTTTCAACAACCACTCGAACTGAGATTTTAATAATTTATCTTATACAAATGATATAACAGAACTGAGGAAAATAATGGGATAGACAGGAGAATCGAATCACAGGACCAATAGGATAAAAATAAGAATATTGGCCACATTTGTTACGTTGTTATACAAATGAGCATGCTGACTGTCGATATTACTTAATACATCTTCCCTACACCTAATTCAATACATCTTCAATTGTTTCAAACCGTTGTTTGCCAGCATCGCGTGTTAAAATCGAAGCGAACGCGCGCGAACGCAACGAATTTGTGGCCAGTCTGAAATACGTAGTTAGAATTTCATATTTAAAGCTAACCTTGGAAATTTAAATGTGTGTATTATCCTTACTTTCTAAGATGTCTAATTTTAGTGTTTAATGTATTTCAGATTATTACATTGTATTTTGTTCATTTATCATATTCACTACGAAATCCTTAGAAACGGGACTATTCGGATCAAATCGTGCGGGATGAATCGGATCTTTGTTTTTCCTTATGTTGTTTATAACTATGATTATAAATATCATGATTATGTATACATAGACGTACAGAGAAAAACAAATTAGGGATCACGGAGCCCAGAAACAATAAAAAACACAATAATAAGAGTTAATTCCAAAGGACAGACCATACGTCAAGCCCCAGAATTTTATCGGATACCTTGTACAACCCTACAAAGAAGTCTCACTTGTCGAATAATTAAAAAAACCTAATCTACATTTGACATCGTCTGTGAATAAAATGATACCTTTCGAAAAACAACAAAAGAAGTTAAAGACTAGACCAAGGAAGGATGCTATTAACTATTTGCACTCAAGAAGTGACTCTTAGTCGCCGTTTTACTCCGTCATTTCGAGCGAACCGGATATTTCTCATTTTTCAGTTCCCTATTTATAAAATGAAGATTTTAAAGTTTTTTAAGATTGCTGTTTACTGATATTGAAACTGAATGTGTATTAATAGCAAATTTTTGAAAAATAATGTTGATTCTAAGTTTTACCTAAATTTTGTCCTCACTTCTGCCAACATAATAACATTTTTGTTTACAACATAAACATCCACCAGTGTGTGTACATTTGCCATTTCACAATAATAATATTGTAATTTTCGTAATATTTTACTAGGCCAATAGCAAATAATTGTAAAATGAATCAAATTTTTACAAAAAATCATGGTGTTATAGAAACTTCATCCACTGTACATCGATTGATCGACAGACCCTTTTGACTGCGGCTGGTCGTCGCTCTGGTCGCTGTGCGCTTCTCGTTCCTACATACGCATTGCAAATACTATTCCGTGGTGTTTCCTTAGCGCCCTGTAGTATTTCATACACTTCTTAACAGAAATTATTACGCGAGCACTCGTCGGTGATGGTGATGACAGGTCCACGGACAAGCAGATTCGAACTCACCGAAACTGGCGAGCTCGCGATAAAATTTCGAACTTTCACGCTCGAGGACTTTCGAACTTTCGAGCCTTCGAGGCTTGAGAGCACGAGGTACCAGCGTTCTCCTTGCCCCGCGGCCCTGTGGACTAAACGCAACCGGGACCAGCCGCTTCGAGCCTCGGAAGCTTGAAAGTTCGTACCTGTTTGAATTCGCGTAAGAGTTTGAACTTCACCGCGGGCCGCTCGCTTTTCTGGGTTTCAACTTTTCGTCATACGTAATACGTGTACGATCGAACGCGTCGGAAATGGGCATCGCACTGCCGCGATAGCGGAAACGAGCCCGTGGGCGCGACGGTACGGGCGAGGTTGCGGGCGACGCTCGGCTTCCGTAAAAAGTAAATAAAGCCCGGGGCGGTGCGCGCGTGAAACTACCGGTGTGTTTAGTCTGCGGAAGTTTCTGTCGAAGCGTTCTCCGGGTTCAGGGATTGTTTGTTGTTGCAGAGAGAGTGGCTAATGCGGCGAAGGTCATACGGGAACTCAGTTAGCGCGCATAATCGCCAGCGGATAGTGCTGCAGGCGCAGAAGCTGAAGGTACGTGTCACGCTGCCTCGGTCTCGATGCTTACCACCCACCACGGGCAGTGCTGACGGCTGAGTTTCATTGGAAACGATAACACCAAGTTTCCCATGAAAGGTTTGGTAATACGAGAGTCAGTCAATCAATCGGTCAAGTAAGTTACATTCCGAGTAAGAAACATGCGAGTATGCGAAGAAGATACTTTTCACTAACAGAAACTTACATTTGTTTATTATTAGGTTGTCCCATAAGTTCGTGTCGTTTATTTTTCTATCGTGTATAAAATAATATTTTATTGAACATAAAGTTCTCATTTTAGGACCTGTCTCTTTCGAATCCTTATTACTGACTAAACTGAGCCATAAAGATTAGTCATTCAAGTCCTCGTACTCCCGTGATTATAAAATGTAACGTGAGAGATATAAACACACTGCGGCACGAACTTATGGACGAGCTAATACTTACGTGTGCATCCCCTAAGTATCTGCAAGCACTTGTCACGAGCAGAATTCATGTTACGAATTGTATTTATAAAAATTCGTGTTCACTTTCTTAATATCCATTTCTTCGAGGTTATCTCTTTTATTTTACTATCCGTTTTAAAATAGTTACCAGTCATATCTTTTCTTATTCGGCTAAATACATAAAAATCTATTAGCGGTAAGTTCGGACTGTAAATCTCTAGTTTCTCATTATTCTCACCAAAATGTACTCCTTGAGTTATAGTGGTAGTACGTGTACGAGCACAGACATGAATGAGAACCATTTTTTCGTTTAATTTTCGGGTTGTTTAAGTTTTAATGGCTGTTCGTGAAAGTTTCGGTGTTTCACAATAAACATAAGCGTTAATTGTTGTCCCCATGAATTTTCAACTTGGGCGCATTTGTTATGCGAATCTCTCTGTTTAGTATACCGTGGTATACGATTAACTGATGCAATTGTGCTGAAATTTACTGTGATCAACACTAATACTGTTTCTGTGTACCCATCGACTGGCAGAAATATAACCCCTCCAACATAATAGTGGATGGAGAGATGTAACTTACTTATTGACTGACTCTCGTATTTAATTGCAGACAGGTAACTGGCCAAAATCCAGATAGAAACTCGTGAGATGGGGAAAGTAACTAGTTTAATGTTTCATTTGTGTCCTCATCGAGTTAGTAATAAGTATAAGTAAAATATAAAGCCCAGAAGTAATAAGTATATATATATTTCACTATAGGCAGATTAATAGTCCTTGTTTAAGCAAATATTTGTCGATAATTTAAAAACAGAACTGAAACCGTAATTTCGTGCTTCTTGATTTTCATCTTATTTTCTTCCTCCTACGAGAATAATTATCTCTAAATGAACATTCTATCTATGGGAGTAATTCAGGAAGAGGGTGATAACGACTGGCGAATTAGATAATTGTGGATAGTCACTTAACAGAGTTCTAATTACCGTAAATGTACTGCATGCGAGGGTGAAATCTGCTACGGGGTGGCTCGCAAGGCCAAGAGGTCACACGCCAAGCAAACCAATTAACCACTGCGCCTCGTCTAGAGGTTTATGAAAATACGTCAATCGTTACCATGTTAGTGTTACACGCCGAGAAGTTCATGTGTTTGCAAAGGCAATGTTTAGGGATTAACCTTCCGCATGAGTTAGTGTGGACAGAAGTTTCTGTGAAAGAGACAAAGTTGTAGAAATACTTTATTCGATATATTAAACTTACTTTATTTTTAAGAAATTGTATCGATGTACGTGTACTAAACGAAAGAGCAGTATTTTATTAAAGATTGAATTGAATATTGAATTTAAAAAAGTGAAGCAAATGCAGAAGAAACAGAACAAATGATATTGTATCAGTGACATTTAGTAACATAATTTACTTATCAGTTTTTGATATTTTAAACTTAAAAATTTTTTAAATAAATATCAATATCATAGAAATCATATAATCGCAATAAATGAATAAAACGAACCCTAAATATTTTAAAGGAAATTTCTTATCGATTCTATTCTCGTGTGAAAACATTATCAGAAACGGAACGTTCGAAAATAACAATACAGACAGTAGAAGTAATTTCAATTTGTTACAACTTTGGAAAATCCAAATCGAATCTCTGGGATCGGAATAGTAAAAGTTCTCTTGGATCCCGAAACGCAACATGAATTCGTTAAAACGTGGATGGGATAATCGCTTGTGCTTACGGCGCTCGTGAATCGGAATCAAGTGTCGGTTC